GGGTGCTCTGTTCAAAGTGGTCCTGTAACGCTGAATCGAACTCGCCTGCCATCCCGCGAATGTGCAAGCAAAGATGATATCGTGCTCTCGCGGCACAAGAGATTGACTGGCGATGTGAGTTTGTTCATATTCACAATTGCCCACAAGTTACGATAATGCAGACGATGAACATGCTCTGACCGATAATACATTTATGAGTTTCTGATCCCAATTAAATAGAAATAACGGAGTGATTTGAAAGTCGTTTGGGTGAATACTAAGGCGTCCTCGTCGACGGTAATTGCACAGCTGAATAGCTGAAATAATTTGAAACGTTCGTGGTTGATCTCTTCTATGTTACTCAGGCTTATCAGTCTTGTTTAATGTCCTGTATGGCTTTGCAATTCACGTTTTTTGATTATAGGTGATTTAAAGGTAAATGAGGTGAAAATTGGATGGAACCTTGAACAGAAGACAATTTGTATGTTTAATTTTGTATGTTGTATTCTATTCAATTTGGACAACGTGGAGTCCTATGTGCCTCCATTTCGGTTGAAATGTAAAGTGGTATTCACTTGGAATGGATCAGTGATATCAATAAAAAAGCGAAATACAAAGGATGTCGGTCACATTTGTTTCACCGAAATCGGTCTTGTTGAATGACCTGAATATTTCTTTTTGAAAAAACGACAGTTAGCGAAAATTCTTCCCTCTTCACTTTTAAGGATAGGGTATTCTCCAGAAATTTCGGGGAAGGTCTTTTTTCTCACTTTTAAGGATAGGGTATTCTCCAGGAAAAAACGACATTTAGGGAAAATTCTTCCCTCTTCACTTTTAAGGATAGGGTATTCTCCAGAAATTTCGGGGAAGGTCTTTTTTCTCAATAGAAAGCATGATACAACGGGATTAAATGTTCCCAATTCTGAACACACACCGATAACTCACGGTGTTTTCAGCATCACACCCGCAAACAATACCCGCATTGTACAATCAAATCCGAATTGCACTTGAGCAAATTGAGGTTTGTGTGCACTACACTATGATATCGTATTCACTTTTGCGTTCATTTTCAGCTATGCCAGCTGAGTGGATTTGCACCAGTCGATAAACGCGACATACGATCTCAGCTTCATCCAGATCGAGATCGGGAACGACTGGTCAATCAAGCTGACCGAAGTCAAACGGATTGCTCTATTCAATGATCGTATAACTAACGAATTGCAATTTACCATGGACAAAAATACGATGAAAAGTAAGAGTTCGTTTTCGCGATAACCTATTTTACTGACACATGAAATGTTTTCCCCTGCACACCTGAATTATTTTGTGTTCTCATGTTCATTAGCAGACGCGCATATTGATGAGCTGGGAGGCCCGATCAATATAACGATTTCCGTTAGATTGGCGGACGCTGCGAAAGAAGGAAATATACAAGCTCTAACGGTAGCATATGGAACAAAGGAAAAACAATGCGTTGCAAAATTGGCAATACCCATCAACCCGGAAACAGATATCAAAGCCTTACTGGATACAAAGATATACACAGAAACAGTGTCTATCTACCCCAAGTATGTCCATGCGCCAGTCGGCTAATAACCATTTAACCAATTGTAACAGCATGTCAAGAGTGGATTTGGGAACCTAAAATATACCTTTTACAGCATACTTACTAGTGAAGCGTCCTCAAAATTCCATATGAAATTTGGTATTATTGAATATAGGTTGGAATAAAAAGGCACCAAATGTGGCCCATGATCTCAATTTGATTTGTATCTTATGGAGAAACCTGTAAACCATAACTGGTAATAACTTAATTTATTCTTGCGAATGCAGAAATGCATCTATGCAACAGAGGGACCCTGTATCAATTACCCCCCGCCCCGCCCCGTTCCTTCGTTGCAGAGACACAGTTCGATTTGTGCTGATTGTGGGGCAAAATCAGGAGTCACAGTTGGAGTGCAAGTCAGTGGATCAAAGCTGCTACCATTTCCAGTTATGGCAATCAGATTCCCCTAAATGTCACACAGCCATATCGATTGACCGAGGTGCTGGTAAGTAGTGAATATATTGATTTGCTCGCACCAATATTTGTACCCTTCATGTCATGTGAATAAAAGCAATACGTTTCCCGTCCATGCGATCTGGTATTCCTGCGTATCACTTGTCATTTTCAAGGTCAACCAAAATCTCACAAATCTGAAAACAGATTTTGTTTCCAAGAGATATGTATATTTGGTCTTTGCTGCTTTCAGGTGTTCTGTAGAACGGTTGTATGAAGTTGTATTTTACAACATTGTTTGAAGGTTCAGTGATACATACATAAGCTTTCACATAAAAAGGGACCATGATCACAACGATGTCACAGACAAAAGAACTTGAAGAACTTGAATAGACTCAATAATCGTGTTTGTATGGAGAGCAGTTCCAGCCTGCAAGCAACACTTTTGTCATTCAAAGACTATCGAAGGTTGCTTTCAAGTGTTCCAACTAGCTACGTCACACTCCCTACCGGCGTTCTATAAATCCGGACCCTGACCGAGGAAGTTGAAGGACGGTTCAAAGTGAAAACACATTTTTCGGGATAGAGTCTCAGACCGGATAAAATGGAATAGACAACGAGACAGTTTCAGTATATTATATACACCCAGTTGTCATTGGTTAGATACGGAAACGGAAACGACACTATTATCAGCCTAAATAAAGTACTGTACAGAGAGAGAGTGATGGGTAAATGACTAATACAATTCGCAAAAATATGGGAGGGTAACAAAGCACCTTGAATTTTATCCACATTCCTGATTAAGGCCGTTGCCTCTGTCCTTCCCAATTTACCACTGTAATATCTTTACCAAAAGTAATCAACAATCCATGTGAAATTAACATTGAGACGACCAACGACGCTGCTTTTAAGTGTAAGTATAATCAAGAAATGCACAATGCACATATTTGTCTTTCTCGTTTAGGGACCTAGATATGTTACGGTGTGTTTATATGCAAGCAGAGAGAAATTATGAGGTTTTGTAAGGTATAAATGAAGTTGATGCACAACTGACCACTCTATCAATTTCGAATCAGTGGAAGCCGGAGAAAGTTGAACACATTTCGCAATTCGAGTCTTGGGATTTGTTTTGAGATTGGTGATTTTCGCAGCGGGTTTATTAACTGGGGAATGTCTCCAACGACAAATCCATCTATTTTAGCTTTGCAGGAAATGGAGATCAGTGTTACTGCCTGGCTAGTTGTCTGATTTCACATCACTTCGACTAGAGATTAGTGGTCACAAAAATGTGACTAACAGATAAAGAATCCCACAAGCGCATTGCAAACTATATTAGAGAAGATAGCCTTTACATTTCAACCCCTGTGCTTGAAGTAAATGCACGTTCCTTTCACATCCTAGGCGCATCCAAAACGTTGTTGATACAAAACGAGGTTGGGGAAATAAATCCATCACGATACAGCAAATGTCAAAACTCGGTATTACACGTCCTCAAAATGGGTCACCTTTTACAAACAACTTGTGTTGAAACGAATTCAGTCAGCAGGGATTTTCAGTGACTTCCTTATTAGAGATACATTGTTTGTTGAAAGATCATGCTGAGGGAAACGGGTGTTTGAAGTGAGTAGAACGAACTTGGTATGTGTATAGGTAAATCATAGGTTTGATTTTGAGCGGATTATAATGAAGTGTGCGGTTTGTGACAGCATGTTTAATGGTAAGCGTTAGCGTGATTTGTAACGAAGTAACTTAGATGAGAGGTTCATGTGTTTGGTTCGATTAAAAGATTGCGTCCGTTTAGGCAGAATAGAAAGATGAGGCAATATGCGGTGGATGGTGCTCATAAATTTGTGTTTACTTTTGAAATTGGGTGGTTTTTGCTGTCTGACAAACGAGTTGCGATGTTGTCTCGGTTCACTCATTCATTCTTGAAGGATAGATTTTTCCCAAGAAACCGTGAATGGTCTCAGCTAATTGTAATCATCATTAGAGAGACACAACATGTGCACATTTCGAAATTTTGTTCTTCCAATTTTCGCATTACAGACTGGATCGCTGCATTTTGGGGAGAACTGGGAGCTGCTTGCCGACGTGAAGTTTCATGAGCGGTTCGATTTCCCCAATAACGACCCCGTGAAAATTGATACGATCTCGATGGATGTCTTTTGTTCGGTTAATCCACACATTCCGAAAGCGAGCAATAATCTGTTTTTCGCAACCACAAATGTGGCTCTATATGCCACCAGAAGTGAGTCATTTATCCTTTCCGGTTTTCACAACACTGAGTAAGGAAATATGTGTGAGCGATTCATTTTAGCCACTCGTCATTAAAAGCGGTATTACTTTCAAAATAAAACTCGCTGTGCGTCAATCGGAGTATATGCATGAGGTCATAGAAAAAATCTTATTTCAGAACAAAATCGGAAAGGTGCACTTGGGTTACCGTTTCACATGCACGGACGCTGAATCCCAGTTCAACAAATTGAAATCAACATAACTGAATATATCCTATTGCATTGTAGTGTAATTACTTTAGTTGGTATGAAGCCTGAATTCTAGCTAAGCATTTAGACAAGTTGGAGCCAGGAAGCAACAAAATAGAAATGCAGCATGATACTTAAATCCAAATGCGTTGGCGAAGTTTGTGAAAACATGTTCTTTGTTAAGGACGATACGTGCTAATGAGGAT